AGGGTGGACGGTGTAGACGAGTGACCAGCTGGGTGTCTGAGGGTGGATGGTGTAGACGAGTGACCAGCTGGGTGTCTGAGGGTGGATGGTGTGTACAGGGGGGGACAGTGTAGACATGTGACTACCCAGGTGTCTAAGAGAGACTTGTGGGTGACCTGAAACCACCCAGATGTGAGGTGGCCGGTCTGTCCATAGGGTCCTGGCCACCAGGATCCTGTACCTGGAGAACCACATCCCGGTGTCCCCACCTGTTCCGGGAGCCGGGTCTGGCTGTTCCGGGTGCCGTCCCGGCAGCCTCTGTGGGCAGCGTGTGCGGGTTCCACCCAAAGCTGCCCAGACCAAAGCGGGGGGCAGGGCGGGGGGCGTTTGGTGGCTTTTACAGAGCACAGGGGTCATGAGTGCGGGTGGAGGGGCCGCTGGGCAGATCGGGTCTCAGTGTTGGCCGGTCACGGTGACCTCTGCGCTTCGGGAGCCTCCACCGTCCCTTCCGAGGCTTCCCACCCGCCACCCCCCCTCCCCCGCCCCCCTTCGGCAGGCCCACCTGACCGCACTGTCACTGTCGGGGCTCCACATCCTGGAGACACACATAGTCCCTGGGGCTGAGCGGGCGGTGCCGAGCTCAAGGTGTCCCCAGGGTGCCCCCAAGGGGTCCGCGCCCCCCATCAGGGCCCACCTCCTCATGCGGGGCAGAGCGCCGTGGGCACCCACGTTACGGCCGGGTGCTAGCGACAATGTCAGAGCCGCCCGGGGAGTTCTCACCTCGCCGGCCAGAGTTGGCGGCCGCCTCCGTTCTGGAGCAGCGACTGTCACACCAGCGGGCCTCCCCCCAGGCTCTGGAGAGGGCCTGCGGGGTGGCCCTGGACGCACGGGGACGCTCCTAGGGAGACGGCCGCTGGGACCCTGGGGACACGTGTCCGGACCCCTCACACCTCACGTTCCACACGCCCCAGCCCTGTGCCCGAAGCCCCGGCCGGCCACCGCCGTGGCTGTGAACCCCACGCGGCGCCACCGGCCGACTCACGCCCTCGAGGTGCTTCCGCGGCTGCCCTGGCCCACGGTCCACTCCTCGGGCCGCGGCCGGCCCACGTCGGGGGAGGCTCATCGCCCCCAGGCGTCACCGGGGTCCCCTCTCCGCCCCGGGGCCCACCTCCCCCGGATTCACGCGCGAGGCCTACCTGCCGGCTTCTGCTCCGCGTCGCTGGGAGTCGCGTGTGGCTCCAGCCCGGGGCGGCGTTGCTGCCCTTGAGGCCCCGGTCGCCGCCTGACAGGCCCGCCGTCGATGGCCTGGCCTCGAGGGCGCGGCGCCGGGGCGGCCTCGGGGTGCGCCGGGGCGGCCTCGGGGTTCCCCGGGGTTCCCCTTTGCCTAACGCTGTCTGCCCGGCGCCGGGACCGTGCAGAGCGTGCTGGGCGGTACGTCCCGCAAACACGCTGAGCGAGGCAGTTCACGTTTGCAGGAGCCGCGCTTTGCCGCCTCGCGAGAAGTGGAGCGGGGCTGGCGGGGCAGAGGCTGGGCGAACCGCGGCTTGAGCGCCGCGGCTGCTGGGGGGGTGGGGGAGCCCAGCTGCCGGGGAGCGCGGAAGGTGCGGACGAGGGGGGGCGGGCGCCACAGGCCTGCGGCAGGTGAGCGAGCCGTCCTGGAGCCCCTGTGTGGCGACAGCCGGTCTAGGAGGGTCCAGGCCGCAGCGCTGGTGGGGTCTCAGGGTACAGGGTGGCCCCGCTTCCTCCAGGAGGCCGCCAGGCTGACAGCGTGACAAGCATCGCGAGGGCGAAGGGGTTGGTGGGCTGTGGTGGGCCCGCCCTTCCCCTGCCCCCTCCCTCTTGGATCCCTTCTCCACTGTCTGTGGGCGGCGGTCTTGGGTTCCCTGGCTGTCCGTCCTGCAGTCTGGCAGGGGGGACACACACCCGGCCACGAGCCCCGACAGGCTGGGCTGGAGGCCCGCGGCCACAGGGCTGTCCATCCTGATTCTCCCCACGGGACACACAAGCCGGGGCTGCAGCGGCGTCACAGGGGAGGCCTGTCCTCCGCCTCAGTGCCGGCCTGTGTGCGGCGGAGACCGAGGGGGGTCCGGGGCTTCTCTCCTCATCCTTGGCCCTTTTTCAGCAAGCCCACCAACGCCCCTGTGGGCCCAGCTGGGTGCTGTCCAGCGGAAATGCAGCGTGAGCCTGCGTGCCACTGTGAGCGTCCTGGTAGCCAGGTAAAAGCATGAAAGGAAACAGGTGCAACTAACTTGGATGCATTTTAGTTCAGGCCGCCCGCTCGGGTCCGCCTTCTTCCCTGCGAGGTGCCAGGGCTTCCTCTCAGAGCTCCAGGCCCACAGCTTGCGGGCACACCGAGGTAGGGGTCCTGGCATCGCTGTCCCCACCTCTGTATTTGGAGACGTCTAAGCTGACTCGCTCACTCTGTGGAACTGAACCAGAGAGAGCCCTTTATGCCAGCAGGAGGGTTTGCTTTGGCGCCCCTACTGGCTGGACCCCTGGGGTCCCTGTGGCCTTCATTTCCAAGGGTCCACACTCCTGCCTGTCCTTGTTCCCGTGTAGACTCGGCTTGTTCACAGGCAGATGGAGGCCAGCCAGCCTCCAGGGCAGCAGCACGGCGATCAGTGCAGACCTGCATCCTCAGGGCCTCGAGGGTCCTCCCCCCCCCCCGCCGCCCCCCCCCCCAGTGCCTACCTACTGACTGCTTTGGATTCTCTCTACCTCTGCCCCTCCCCCTCACAACTCTCTCTCTAAAACAAAAACAAAAGATTAAAAATATTCTAACACACAGTTTAAAGCCCGGAAACCCTGGGTTGCACGGCTCCCCCCGCCTCAGGCTCATTCACTTTCAGGGAGAACCACAGACAGTGGGGCCACATGGGAGCACTGGAGGGAAACACACGTATCATGTCCACCCCGTGAGTCCTGAGACGTGGCGTGGGCTGGCATCATACAGCGGCCCCCATTCGCCCACCAGAGCAACCTGGAGCCTGGGCCCTGGGCAGCTCTCTGCAGCTATAAACACGGAAGTTTAAGCTTTTGGGTTTTTATTCAATGTTTATTTATTTTTGATAGAACACAGTGGGGAGGAGAAGAGGGAAAGGGAGACACAGAATTGAAGCAGGCTCCAGGGTTCCAGCTGTCAGCACAGAGCCCGATGCGGGGCTCGAACCCACAGACCATGAGATCGTGACCTGAGCTGAAGTCAGTCGCCCACCCAGGCTCCCCGAAAGTTTAAACTTTTAAATTAATTCTTAAGTATCTAGAACACATTTCTGTTTTTTCTACACGTCAGGCAGTGGGTGGGCGTGCCCCAACCCGCCAGTCTGGGACCCCGCCTGCCCGAGGACCACACGTGTTCCCGCTTTCTGAATAGGGTCGCGCAGTGAGGGCGGCGTCCTGGGGTTCTGGCCGGGACCGTCCAATGTCAGCCTCACCGGAATCAGGAACTCGGAGAAACACAGCTGCAGGAAACGTGGAGGTTTAGGCACGTTGTTCAGCACGGTATTGTCCACAGGAGGTGTGACCCAGCAAACCTGCCTGCGCACACATGCACGTATGCAACGATACACACGATCATCTAATTCTGAGTCTGAGCGCAGCAAGGTTGACAGGAATCAGCTGGGGTCACTTTGAAGCTGGGCTGCACGAGGGAGCCTCCTGAATCCGGCCAGGTGGGGCCTCCGGGACCTCCTCTCTGGCTGCTCTCCTGACCTGCTGAGCTCAGTCCTGGCCACACCCTTATCCCACCGTGAAACCCTCACGAGTCCGCGTCCAGTCCTTCTCAGAGCAGGGTCCCCAGGAACTTGTCGAAATGCAGGTTCTCAGGCTTTCCAAGGCCAGCTGGGTAGGGCCTGGGGGTGGGCCCAGTGACCTGTGCCTCCAGCAATGACACTGAAGGTCAACAGGACAAACGCTCATCGCCGATGGATTCTAGGGCTAATCCCTCTTGGCAGCGATTCCGAGCCTCGCTGAGAAGTGCACATCTTCTGAGACCCCCAGGGATCCTGGCTCCCAGGGCCCACGAGAGCTGTGTCTGGTGCCAGATGATGCAGACGCCGTTGCCGGTGAGGAAGGAGCCGTCTTGGGGCAAATGTTACTTTCGAGGGCTTCTGACAATGCACCCTGAATGGGCACAGGATGGCTGTGGAGCACTCTCCATGGTGGGCTGGCCTCAGGGCAGCCCGGGCCCCCAAATCCTGTCTCCCCAGAAGGGAGGGGCCCAGTGAGTCAGCCTGGAGAAGAGAAAGTTGAGGAAAGTGAGGGGAGCTGGCCTCGTATTTGAGATTGCCGTGTGAGCCATGGGGGCGAGCTCTGTGTTGCAGCGAGAGCCGGTGGTGCTCACGGTAAGAAGGAGCCTGCACCCTGGCTGCAGCCGCTCCCTACTAACTCACGTCCGCGATGCCGTTAGTTTCCTGGAGCCCTTGTATTTCTTAAAAAAAAAATTTTTTTTTTAATGTTTATTTAGTTTTGAGAGAGAGACAGAGTGCGAGTGGGGGAGAGGCAGAGAGAGGGAGACACAGAATCCGAAGCAGGCTCCAGGCTCTGAGCTGTCAGTACAGAGCCTGACGCGGGGCTCGAACTCAAGAACTGTGAGATCATGACTGAGCTGAAGTCGGTAGCTTAAACAACTGAGCCCCCCAGGCGCCCCGTCCTAACACTTCTTAAGGTGGAGCGAAATCATTCTGCGAAGTAACTGACCTAAAACGTTGTATCAGTTAGTGTACAACATAATGATTTGAAATATGTGAAATAACCACCGCTAAGTTTATTTACCATCCCTCACTGGGCACACGGTGACAATTTGTTTTTGTGATGACAACATTTAAGGTCTATTCTCTTAGCAGCTTCCAAATATACAATACGGTGTTATCACCTGCAGTCGCCATGGTGTCCCTAGGACTTATTTCCCTCATAACTGGAAGTTTTGTACCATCTGATGGTCTTCACCCATTTTGCCTACTCCCCGCCCCCGTCTCTTGTAACCACCAATCTGTTCTCAGTATCTATGAGTTTATTTTACTTTATTTTTTTAGATTCCACAGATAAGTAAGATCATGCAGTATTTGTCTTTGTCTGACTTATTTCGCTTAGCGTAATACCTTCAAGGTCCCCTCCATGTCGTTGCAAATGGCAAGATGTCATTCTTTTTAGGTTTGTATATGTATATACACACTGCATCTTCTTTATCCATTCTTCTGTCAGCGGGCCCTTGGGCTGCTTCCGTATCTTGGCTACTGTAAATAATAGTGCAGTGAACACAGGAGTCAGGCATCTTTTTGAGTTACTGTTACTGTTTTCTTCAAGTAAATACCCCGTAGTGCAATTGCTGGGTTGTAGGGTGGTTCTGTTTTTAATATTCTAAGGAACCTCCACACTGTTTCCCAGAGTGGCTGCACCAGTTTGCATTCCCACCAGCAGGGCAAGAGGGTTCTCCTTTCTCCACATCCTCACCAACACCTGTTGTTTCTTGTGCTGTTGAGTTTAGTCATTCTGACAGGTGTGAAGTGGTACCTCCTTGTGGTTTTGATTTATATGTCCCTCATGATCAGTGATGTTGAGCATCTTTTCATGTGTTTGTTGGCATCTGGATGTCTTTGGAAAATGTCTGTTTAGTTCCTCTGTCCCTGTTTTAATCGAATTTTTGTTTCCTCGCTATTAGGTTTTATAAGTTCTTTACACATTTTGGATGTGAGACCCTTATTGGACGCATGATTTACAAGTATTTTTTTTCCCCATTTTGTAGGTTGATGGTTGATGGTTTCCTCTGCTCGGCGGAAACTTTTTAGTTTGATGTGGTCCCCTTGTTTATTTTGTTGTCGTTTTTGCTGTTAGTGTCAAATCCAGAAAATCCAAGATAACAATGTCAAGGAGCTTACCACCTATGTTTTCTTTTAGGAGTTTTATGGTTTCAGGTCTTACTTTCAAGTCTTTGATCGATTTCAAGTGAATTTTTGTGTATGGGGGAAGATAGGGGTCTTAGGTTCATTCTTTTCCATGCAGTTGTCCAATTTCCCAGCACCATTTACTGAAGAGACTGACCTTTCCCCCATCGTGTGTTCTTGCCTCCTTTGTCGCGAATTGACTGTATATGTGTGAGTTTATTTCTGGGGTCTCTATTCTATTCCATTGATCTATGTGTCTACTTTTATGCCAGTACCATACTATTTTTATTACTGTAGCTTTGTAATACAGATTGAAATTGGGGAATGTGATGCCTCCAGCTTGCTTCTTCTTCCTCAAGATTACTTTGGCTATTTGGGGCCTTAAGTGGTTCCATACAAATTTTAGGATGGTCTGTTTTATTTCTGTGAAGAATGCCCTTTGAATTTTGATAGGGATTGCATCAAATCTGTAGACTGCTTTAGATAATATGGACATTTTAACAATATTAATTCTTTCAATGCATAAATGTGGTATAGCTTTCCATTTGTGTCTTCAATTTTTTTTTTTTTATCAATGTCTTATCGCTTTTCACGTACAGATATCTCACCTCCTTGGTTAAATTTATTCCTGAGTATCTTATTGTTTTTCATGCAATTGTAAATGACAGTTAATTTTTCTTCTGATTGTTTATCATATCAGTATATGGAAACAACAGATTCGTGTGTATTGATTTTGTAACCTGCAACACCACTGAATTTGTTGATTAGGTGTAACGGTTTTGGGGTGGGCGTCTTCAGGGTATCCTATATAACTATCATGACATCTGCAAACAGTGACAGTTTTACTTCTTCCTTTCCAATTTTGATGCCTTGTGTGTTTCATATGGCTTGATTACTGTGGCTAGGACTTCTAGTAGTGCATTGAACAGGAGTGTTGAGACCAAATATCCCTGTCTTATTCCTGATCTTTGAGGAAGAGCTCTCAGCTTTTCACAGCTGAGTGTGACATTAGCTGTGGCCTTCTCATACATGGCCTTTATTATGCTGAGGTGTGTTCCCTCTATTCTCACTTAGTTGAAAATTTTTATCAGGCACGGATGTTGAGTTTCATCAAATGCTTTTTCTGCATCATGTATTGAGATGATGATGTGATTTTTAACCTTCATTTAGTTAATGTATCATGTTGATTTGCAGATGTTGAACTATCCGTGCATTCCGGGGATAATCCCACTTGATCATGGTGTGTGATCCTTTGAAAGTGTTGCTCAATTTTGTTTGACGATTTGAGGATTTTTTTTCTTAATTTTTTTTCAACGTTTATTTATTTTTGGGACAGAGAGAGACAGAGCATGAACAGGGGAGGGGCAGAGAGAGAGAAGGAGACACAGAATCGGAAACAGGCTCCAGGCTCCGAGCCATCAGCCCAGAGCCCGACGCGGGGCTCGAACTCACGGACCGCGAGATTGTGACCTGGCTGAAGTCGGACGCTTAACCGACTGCGCCACCCAGGCGCCCCGAGGATTTTTTAAAATCTATGTTCAGAAACCCTGGCCTGTGGGATTCTTTTCTTCTCGCGTCCTTGTCTGGCTTTGGTATGAGGGTAATGCTGGACTCAGAATGGATTTGTAAGTGTTCCCCCCACCCCTTCTTCTATTTTTTGGAAGATTTTGAGAAAGATTGGTGTTAATCCCTCCTTTGATGTTCGGTGGAATTCCCCGGTGAGGCCATCTGGTTCTGGACTTTTGTCTGCTGGAGGTTTTTGATCCCTGAGCCAATCTCCTTACTAGTAACTGGTATTCAGAGCCTCTATTTCCTCATGCCTCAGTCTTCTAAGTGATTTTCAAGTGTGCTGACAGGTTCTAAGCTTATCTGGATTCTCTGAAGCCAGTGGCCTGGACTGCTCCATGGACTTCTGAGTCAGTCCCTCCGGCTGTTACATCGCTGAGGCTGGAAGGAGGTGCAGAGGCGGACGCAGTCTCTTCTGGGGGACCGAGCCGGCTGCTGAGGAGTGGGGGGCAGGCAGCCACGTTTGAACGTCAGCAAAGGAAAGGGGATCATCCAATGGAGGGGAAGCCCCACCCAGTAGGGCCAGCCAGGGTCGCTGCCCCCACAGGGGCTCAGCTCCACTTGGCCCCCAGCACATGCACTCAGCGATTGCCCTGGCCCTGGTCCCGGCCTGAGTGACGGTGCCCCGTCCCCGCCCCTCCTCTCAGGACGTCAGTTCCTCCTGGGCCAGGTCGGTCTTCACTCCAAAACAGGAAAGGGGTTTGACCTCAAGCGGGCGTCTGCACTCTGTCACCAGAGGGCGCCAGAGGGCGGTGGAAAGACTTGAAGGCTGCAGGTTGTCGCTCCGCCTCCAACGTCCTGGGAACAGAATCAAGTCTCAGCTTTATCCTTGTGGGCCCCTGGGCCCCATCAGCCCCTCAGGGCCTTTGTGCCCGGGGCCATGGCCTGCTCAGGCCGCTCTGCTAGTTTGGAAATCAGCTTCCGGATAATGTGGATCCTGGCCGGGCAGCTATGGGCAGCAGCGGCCTGGGCACCGAGGAGGGCTGGCCAGCCTGTGCTCACCAAACACAGCCTGCCCAAAATGCTGGTGGCACGTTTTTGTTTTTCCAATATGTGAAGTTTATTGTCAAATTGGTTTTCATACAACACCCAGTGCTCATCCCAAAAGGTACCCTCCTCAATACCCATCAGCCACCCTCCCCTCCCTCCCACCCCCCATCAACCCCCAGTTTGTTGTCAGTTTCTAAGAGTCTCTTATGTTTGGGTTTCCTTCCCCCCTAACCCTTTTTTTTTTTTTTTTTTTCCCTTCCCCTCTCCCATGGGTTGGTGGCACGTTTTTTTTCAATTTCTCCGGTCCTCTTTCCCTGTAACCAGTGAGGGCGGGCTCAGCCACAGATGGCCCCGCCCCCACAGGGCCTCCTTGGTGTCTTCCCGCGCAGGCCCCGGGGCTCCATCTCTGGGGTCCCCAACCCTCGGCCCAGTGGGCCCCCAGAAGCCGTGGGTGCTGTTCTGGGCCTGCAGCTCAGGGAGGTAGATGGAGCCACATGTGGGAGTGTCCGTGGTCTAGGAAGAGTGGGGGTGGCCACGCCAGAGGACCCACAGATCAGGGTCAGTCTCTGCTTGAAGGGTGATGCACGGTGGCAGTGGGGTACCCATCGACCGACCCGGAGAGTCTGGGGACCTGGTAGCCTCCCTTTGTGTCACCTGCGTGTCCCTTTAGTGAACCCGCGGCTGCCAGCACAGCCCTGCCTGCCCCTGGCTCCGTGGACGCCCAGCCACCTGCTCAGTGTTCTCTCCGGGACACGGTTTCTCAAATGTTCCAAATCTCCAAGTCCTTCTCCCTCAACAATTCCTCCACTTTGTGTCTCCCCTCTCTCGTTCTACACAACATCCAGCTTCATCTCTGGCTTCCCTCCTCGATTCTCCCCCCCCCCCCACCCAGGCCACACCCTGGGTGGGGGGCTTCTCTCCAACTGTCACTTCCCTGGCCCCCCTAGAACACACGCAGAGGTGTGGTTTCCCTGAAGCTCCCAGCCCCACAGGTACCCGCATGGTGCTCGGGAGGGCAGCCAGCAGAGCCCACACACTTCTCAGGACCGGAGGTGGGACCTGAGGCGAGGGGCAGGGCCAGGTCCCGGAGGTGAGCGCTGTCACCTGGGACAGTGCCTTCTCCCCGCCTCCCCTGTGCCCGGGGGGGGGGGGGGGGGGGCTAGCTCTGTGTGTCTGTCTTCTCATGAGGACGCGGGTCCCCCCATTGGCTCCCTTAGCCCCAGTTACCTCCACAGACGCTCCCTGCCGCATCATCTCCAGATGTGGCCGTGGGGACCGTATTCACTCAACCGTGGTGGAAATAGGAAAGCGCTGACTCGGTGGAGGGAGATGTAGGGAGGCAGGGTCGGCGGCGGAGGGAAGTGTGTCCAGGAGAAACGGGGAGCCCTGCCGGCTGGCGGGTCCTCTGCTGGGTCCTCTGAGGGGATCTGGACTTTGTCCCAGGGCTGAGTTTCCAGATGCAGCTGGATGTCACTGGCCTACACTTAGGAGGCCACTGCCACTTGGATGGACGGATGGTGAAAGAGGCTGGGAAAAGGGAGGAAGTCAGGAAGGCAGTGTGTGGGGGGCTGGATTTGGTGCAGAGAGGGCGTGGGGGCCACCAGGGGAGCTGTGAGCCGCGGGTGGAGAGTGCAGGTCTGTGAAGCATGGGGAAGGGCGGGAGCACACCCGCACTCGGGACAGGTCCGCTGGGTCCGCAGGAGGACACGAGGTCCCAACAGAGCATGACAGAGCAGGGCCAACGGGAAGTGTCAGTACGGGTCTGTGCACACCCATCTCCACTGCAGATGGCAGGGCCCTTCGGAGCACACACGCGGGGTCACCTTCCAGTGGGTCAGCATGGGGAACACCCCCCTCCTCCAGGTCCTGGGCCAGCCTCCAGGGAGTGGAGCCCTGTGTCCTTTCTTGGGGCGTGGGGGGCATGGGGAACCACCCCGTCCTCCTGATCTGGGGCCCGACCCCCCCGGGGGATCGTAGCCCTGTGTCCCTGGCACAGGGGACCCGGGGAACCACACCCTGGCCCCCTCATCCTGGGCCAGGCTCCAGAGACACGGAAGCTGAACCTGGACCAGCCCAGGCTGGGTGCAGGTGATGGGCCAGAGGGACGAGTGTGGTGTGAACAGATCCCGCACGGGACAAGAGTCACCGAGCTCACGGAAAAAAAGAAGGCCGGCCTCTTTCTTGCTGTCCAAACTCGTTCCTGACGGGACCAACACCCGCAGGACCAGGAGGACTTGGCAAAAGCTGAGTCTGTGGTTAGGATCAGGGATGGACCCTGACCTGCGTCTCACTGAGCACCGGTGGTACTCTGGGGTCTTCGGTGCCGTGCACATTTCTTGCCTATAAAAATAAAATCAATTGCATTCTGCTTCACTTTTAAAAAGGAAGAATCTGGGAAATGTTATCCAGTCGCACGAACGGAGTCACTCCTCTGCTGGCTCTCACCCTCCTGCCCTCCTTTGTGTGTCCTTGCTGCCTCCAGCCAACCTCACTGACCGGATGTCACCAGGCCCAGAGCCCAGCTCTCCCCACCCGCCCACATTCCCAGCTCCTCCGCCGTCTCCATCACAAAGGAAGCTCAGGCATCGAATCTGGTCGAGGCCGAGGGGTCTCGCCCTGCTTCAGGGTCCTCGTCTGTGGGGCAATATGAGCGTCCGCCCCAAATACCGCCGCGGCTCCTTAACCACTGCAAGCTGGCGCCCGCGCCGTGGCTTCTAGCGTCAGAGCGTGCTCCTCCGTGGCCGAAGCCCCCAGCCCGGGCCCCGCACGTTTCTGCTTCAGTTGTGACACAGCGTCTGCTCCCCCGCCCCCTTGAAAGGAAGCAGGCACGCGCCTCACCGTGACCTTCATCAGAAGGGCCATGCGTCACCCAAGGGCGAACACTGAAAAGCTGGTTCCTGATTCTCCGCGTTCTTTCTTCCCGACTGGACCTGCGGCCTGCCTGAGACCAGGCGCCAGGAATGAGGCCCGTGGGGGTCGGAGGCCACCGCAGGCGACTCGTGTGAGACTCCGGGCTTGGGCGTGTGTGTTACACAGCACGGCCAGTCCGTCCTGACAGCACGCAGAGGCGGTCTCCCCGATGTGTCTCTGACCTGGAGCCCTCCTGCCCCCTTCGAGGTGATGCTACTGGCAGGAAGGAGGGAGGAGTGGGCCGGGAAGGACAGCACAGACGTCCATTGTTGTGGGGTGGGGGCGGGGGCAGGACTGCAAGGCTGGTGACGGCTTGGCTCCTGGGAGCCTTCGGGACACCGGGCTCCCGGTGTCCAGACTGGCCAGGTCTGACCGCGCAGGAATGCGGCCAGTGCGTTTGTAGCTCTGGGTTTGTGGCCCCGCAAGACCGCAGAAGCCGGCGGGAAGCAGGCTGCCCCGGGAGTGTGCACGGCCGCCTGCAGCTGCCCCTCGGCTCGGCTCCGTGCGCTCCCACCGGCAGGTGCGGTTCTGGAGGCCACGCCCCCGAGCCACCGGCTTTCCCGCGCCCACAGCGCCTCGTCCCCACTTACCCGGCAGTAGATGACGTTTGCCAGCTATCGCCGGGTGCTCAGGGGGGCTAGCAGCTGGGTAAATCCCACAGAATGAGGAGAAAAGGGATCAGCAACGAATTATAAAAACAACCTCTTCATTGAGTTGCTCTTGTTCAACTGTGCGCATCAGCTCTGGGCGGGGAAAACCTCCGAGTTCCGTGAACCGAACCAGCCCCTGCAGTCCCGAAGTGGAAAGGAACACAGTTTGCCCCGTGCAGAGCTTGCGGGCAGAGCGAGGCCGCGCATGCGCGCTTCCTGCGGTCCTGCCGGAAACTCTGCGGGAGGCCGCTGCGGGCCGCGCGCCGGG